ATTTGATACCCTTACAGGCCCAGACGCGTGGCTTTTTCAGGCAGGAAAAATTGCACCCTAAACCCCCAACCCCAAACCCTAAACCCTAAACCTTAGACCCTAAACCTTAAACCTTGCCTTAGACTCTAAATCTTAAATCCTAAGCCCTAAGCCCGAAACCCTAAACCTTAAACCCTAAAACAAACTCCAGATGGTGCCAGGTTTGGGATTCTCTGCGAACCAACCTCTCCAAGTTCACCTGTGCTTTCTCGGAAGAGCGGTTTAAGTTCCCTAAATAAGGGTTTTGGGTTCTGATGGTTTTTGGGGTTTAGGGATTAGGTTTTTGAAGCTTAAATACTTACCAATATTGTGGGGGACTAGGGGGTAGCATAATGGAGAATCAAAGGAAGAGATGGGCAATGAAATGGAAACCGGAGTTCTATAGGGTCTAGAGGGATAAGTACAAATGTTCTGATCCCAGATGCCTCGTACAGTTATGGCAACGGGTGCTTGAGATAAAAAACATCACATGATGTTGGTAATCGAATTCGAGTCTAGGATTCAAAATTCAGGGTCTTAGGCTTGGGGTTAGGGATTTTAGGGATTATGGGCGTGGGTTTAGGGATTGAGTTCTTGGGTTCAGGGTCATAGTTACCTAGACAATGGCCTTGAACAAAGCAGTATCTAGCCACTTGTTAGACTACGTTGGAGATTCAAGTTGGATTGGTGTAGGGTTTAGGGTGAGCGGCTGGTTTCGAGTTCATGGCTTAGAGGGCGCAACGCCCGCAACTTCTTTTAAACCACCCTAAATCCTTAATTCTATACATAAGCGATATGCCCTTAAATCTATAGCCCCTGGATCCACTTCAAGCAACCTCATACCATCCCTACCCTAACTCCTGTAGCTCAGGATTTCCCTTGGCCCACTGGAGCTGAGATTTTCCCCTCGGCTGCGGCCGTCTGCCGTTACTTGGAACATTTTGCCGAAAGCCTCCGGCCTCATATCCAGGTCTCCTGCGAGGCTCCGCGCTGGAAGTGATAACGGGTGTCGTGTTTGCGGTCCAGGTCATGTTTGATTCTCATGTCGTACATCCTTGTGATTTTCAAGGATGATTGCAGATGTCTTTTCTTCCTGCCTGCCGACAGGAGTCTCTCCAAGCTTTCCATAGCGAAAGAATCTTTAGGAGGGTTTTTCCAACCCCTTCGCAAGTAATAGATGCATGTACATATATATATATATGCACATATCAAGGTCGGTCAGTGTACCACTAAAATGGGAACCCTCTACATGCAACTGTGTATGGGACACGTACCCTTTGATCACACTCTTGAAGCCTCGAACCCAGAATCGTGAGAACAAAGCCAAAAGCCCTACATTGGATCAAGGACATCTTGCACCACCATCTCATGCTTGGTACTTCAAGAAGTAGAGTATTTTGGGGATCCTGGGGGTGCAAGATTTCCTCCATCCACAGTAGGGCCCTAGGGTTGAGGGTGCATAGGTATTATCATACCCAAAAATGTCCCCCATCATCCCCTTACAGTCCCCATCTTTCCCTAGGTTCCCCAAGGGACCTTTATTTGAGAAGCTTCCACATGGTTTCCCAGACCCTACACCCAGCCCTAAGCGCCAAATCTGACATACCCCAAGCCCTGAGCATCGAACAACACGGGCCCTTGAGGGTTGTACAGGGAGCTATGAGCTACGTAGTAAATTTTGGTTGGGGGCGACGTTTTGGGGATATATAGGGGGGTTCCAGGGGGACCTATTTAAGGGATATACTCCAACTTTAGTCCAGGGCTCATTTAGGGTTATCTAGGGCAATGGACAAGAAAATGGAAGCTTTCAGGGCTTGGGCTTAGCCTGTTAGAAGAATGGAGACTCAAATGAGGAACTACCTGGACAATGGAATGGAAACTAGGATGATAGGGATTAAGGACATCGCATGCTTCTTGTACTGGCACTAACAGATCCTATATGACGTTAGATAGTTCTTCACCTTCAAACAGAATTGAAGCCCCAAGGTATGAACCTCAACAACCTTGAATTCAAAAGTCGATCTCCGGAATTCCTGAGCCCAACGCCCTCCGGGTCTAGGATTCAAGGTTCAGGGTATATGGTTCAGGGCCCCAAACTCGAACTTTCCGCCCAAAGCCAAAAAAAAGGTGGTTGCCAAGAATTAGCAGAAGCCTAAATAGTCCCAAACCCGTAGCTCAATCTGAAGACTTGAAAGAAGCACTCCAAAATTATCCCTAAACCGTAAACCCTGAATAGTAGTTTCCATTTTCTTTTTCATCATCCCTACATAGCCCCTATACCTTCAACCCCCAGGCTCTAAAGCCTGAACAACTAAAGTCTCAAATTCTCGAAGTCGCGGTGAAGGGTTTGGGGTCAAGGGTTTGTGGTGCTCAAAGTCCTAACATCCTCTGGCTTCAAAGCCACAAACCACCCAAGAATCCCAGTTTCCATGTCTGATTGTTTTTTGAATTGGATTCCCCACGCCCGAGTCCTAACCTTAAAATCCTCTACAACCTCTGTAGCCGCTTCATAGGGTCCCATGCTCTAACCGGCTAGACTAAGCCCAGAACCCAAAACCCTTCGGGCGCTTAAAGCCGCATATCTACGAGAGACAGGTCACCCGAGTGCGGCGGGTCGCCGACAGCGGGGTTTGGCAGGTAGGTTTGGTTTAGGGTTTAGGATGTAGGGTCTAGGGTTAAGGTTTACGGCTTGGAGGTTCAAGGCACTTGTGACACAGTGATTACTGTTACTTGAAACGAATTTATAACGAGATTCGGCAACTGAACGGGATTAGACTTGGGTTAGCAGTACAATGATAGTTCGCGTATAATTTTCTGAACCTCCAAGCGTGGGTGTTTCAGGTTTCATGGGTTTCATGGTTGCACCCCTGGTGTTGTACCCCTGAATTTTGTGAGACCTTTGTATAGGAACCCTCAAAGACTAGGTTGGTTTCTATAAGGATGATGGGGAACCTTCAAGAGGTTTATGGAGCTAAGGATTCTTGAGCTGAGAGGCTGTGGAGGTTGAGGGTTCAAGGGTTTCAGAGCCCTAAGCCCGTATAGTCCCCCTTGAGTAGATAGAATATGGCTCTGGGTATGAGATAATAGCAAGATCCCCATATTTTCCCACATTTTATCTAGTTAAGGTGGACTATATACCCTAAGCCGTGGACCCTAGACCCTAAACCCTACATTCTATCTGCTTTAGGGGGACTATATACCCTAAACCCTAAACTTCATATTCTATCTACTGAAGGGGGACTATACGCCCTACTCAAGGGGGACTATCACCCTAAACTATCGAATGAGTAGAAGAGGGATCGGGGGAAATTCATCATGAACCCCCTGAATCCCGAACCCCAGCCCCCAAGTCTGCTAGAACCCGAAAGCGAGGTGACCAGGGCGTATGGTCCCCCGTAAGTAGATAGAATATAGTTTAGGGTTTAGGGTTTAGGGTAAAGTCCCCACTAAGTAGATAGAACATAGGGTTTAGGGTATATAGTCCCCCTTAAGTAGATAGAATATGGGGTAAGTATGGGGATCTTATTATAATATACCCAAAGCCATGTTCTATCCATACAAGGCGACATATAAGTTAGGAATGCAACGCGGTCTAGGTTTAGGGTTGCATCATCCTCCAAATAATCTGGGAGTTTCTCGAAACAGGCCTTCCCCTAAGGACGCCAGAGATACATGGGAGCTACGATGGGAGTGTGGGTCCTTTTTATGGAGTATAAATTAAAAAGCTTGTTCTGAGAAATTTCGTTATAGAGTAAGGCTATATCCCCGGTGAGTTATAGTTTGTACAAGAGCAACAGAATCTTCTTGGCTCAGCCAACAGAAAAACCCATTACCCTACACCCCGAATCCAGGTCGCTTGGAGGGAGGGTGGCGAGGAGCGGCAGAAGTTCTTCAGACACGTACCCAAGACTGAATTTAGCATTTAGCATGTGTGAGTCAGGGTTTAGATGTTGGTGTTAATGCAGCAGGTTGGGTGGCTTTCAATTTAGGAGGGCTGAGACGGCAGGGCCTGTCTAAGGCTTTAGTGACGTAAGCGATTGGAGCGGTTTGAGTTGGTTTCTTGAAAGTCTGGGGATTACACATTTTGCAGGCTCTGGGCTTGCTGTTGTGACTTTAGGGTTGAGCTTCTTTGGAGAGTCGCTTCTTGGTTTGGTGTAGTGTAGAGATTTGAAGTTGAGGCTTCAAGGTAGAGCCGGCCCAAGCATGGGGTTTTGTGCCAAAAGCAGATGCAGAGTTTGCCCTTTTGAATTTACGGTCCCCCCCTAAGGTAGAATAGAATATGGGGTATATGGGAATCTTAATATTATATACCCAAAGCCATCTTCTATCTGCTTAAGGGGGACTATATGAACATGTTTCTTCACAGCCGCACCTGTGCGGAGGCCCTGACCTCAGATGACACCGTATAAGTTTGCTTGAGAGTTCGGCCTTGTCTTGTTGTGAGGTCTCTCCTGATGGATTTTGGCCCTAAACCCTAAACCCCAAGCCCTACTCCCTAAACCTTAATCCCTAAACCCTAATCCCTGAATGGTTGTAAGTGTTTGCAGGAAAGGTAGTCGTACTGATTTTCCAAGATAGGGTTGATTTTCCGTGGTGGTTTTCTGGCCTGCTAGCCTTTGGAATGGAGGGACTGCTGTTGGAGAAGGGTTGTTTTCCTCGGGAGCTTTTTGGGACCTCGCAGTAAGGCGCTCTCCGATGCCTGGCAGCGGTTAAAAAAACCTAATCCCTAAATGTGAAGCCCAAAGATTCTATTGGTGTTATTCCTGCTGTTTCAGAGTTTTGTATCATCGAAGAGGGTCTTCCTGTCCCCGAGTAAGCCCCCTCTGACTTGTCAGGCCAACTTCGAAGGCATTTGGCACGAGAAAAGATGCCTCAGCGCTGCCGTTGCGCAGGCCAGGCCAGGGTGTATTAGCTTAGGGTGTCACACTGGTAGCGGAGCCTAGGTGCTCCTGTAGGTAGGATCCTGTAGTTCCTTTACTGCCATGTCGGCTGTTGATGGGGGCGATGGTAGCGTCCTTCAAGGCGATGAGCAACCAGCTGGAGACAGCGCTTCTGTTGTGCCTGAGGGTGACGATCGTAGTCAAGACTTTTCGGGTTCCGCTAAAGAGCAAGGCGAAGAGCGTAGAGACCGGGGGCGTGGAGCTTCCAACTCTACTTCTGGGAGATGGGATAGCACGGCTTCTTGGGGGGAGCATAGCTATCGCAGGGGTGACGATCGTTACTGGAGACAGCAGCGGCAAGACGACAGCTGGGGCGACGATAGAAACTGGTGGTGGTCTAACGACGACCAGTGGAAGGACACATGGGACGATGAGGATGACTACTGCGATGACGACGAAGACGACGACAACCAGAGTTGGGATCCCTGGGCAAGCGCCTGGAACAAGAAGCAGAAGGGCGATGGCTACTGGCAGGGCGGCGGATGGCGCGACCAACGGCAAGGAGATGACCGACGGCGTGACCTTCGACCTCCCCAGGCAGATGGTGGAGCCGGACGTGCCCAAGGGAGCGATTATCCGGGCCATCGAGACGATGCTAAGAACGTTTGGGACGGATGGCGTCACTTCTCCGGTTCGGACAAGAGTGACTCAGGTTCGACTGGTGGAGGTGACCGACGCTCTTCTGGAGGAGGAAGCCGGCCATCTGAGAAGCTTACGGTGCCTGGCTTCTCTGGCGAGGATGCCGAGGATGTTGGAACCTCGGCCCGCTCCTACTTGAGACAGATCGAGGCCTGGAAGCGCATGACGCTTCTGCCTAGACACCAACAAGGTCTGGTGCTTTACCAGCGCTTGACTGGTAAGGCGTGGGTGGCGGCCGAAGAGCTCAACGTGGATCGCCTGGGTGCCGAAGACGGGGTGCAGTACCTCGTGAAGTGGATCACCAACAGGTACCTGGACCTGGAGGTGACCCGGATCGGGAAAGACTTCTCGGAGTTCTTCAGGCGGCTCAGGAGACGCCCTGGGCAAAGCATCCGAGACTACAGCAGTGAGTATGACAGACTTCATGCCAGGTAGGATGTAACCTCCCGGACGATTGTGCCGCTTGGCTTTACGTGGACCGCTTGCAGCTGGAGGAAGCCGCAGAGTTGAACCTCTTGGCCAGTGTCGGGAACACCTACTCGCTCCCTCGTTTGCAGCAAGCAGCCGTCATTCATGATCGAGGGCACCGGAAACCTTGGGAAGGTAACGGCTCCGGAAAAGGGAGGCGACTTCACACCGCCCACTTCACCGAGGCCGACGACTCCTTCGACTCCTGTGATGACGACCCTGGCTACGAGGACGAGGATGGTGGTGTCTCTGAAGAGGTGGCGATCGCCTACGCTACTTACCAGACGGCTAAGCAGAAGTACAAGGAGAACCAAAAGAGCAGAGGATTCAACGGAGGACAAGGCGAGCGGCACGAGACGCAGCAGGCCCCGAGGAACAACGAGAAGTCGAACGAGAAGATCCGCGTGATGAAGGCGAAGTCATTCTGTTCCGGATGCGGCCGCCGTGGACATTGGCATAAAGATCCAGAATGTCCTCACAACCAGGGCCAGTACCAGAAGGGCGTGGAGAAGAGCAAACCCTCCGACATCGGCTTCTGCAACTTGCTGCCCGCCGAGGTCTACGCCATCAAGCATGAGAACGCTGGATTGGTCGGGATCACGGACACTGCTTGCGCCCGTATGGTTGCCGGGACTCAATGGCTGCAAAACTACTCCGACAAGCTAGCCGCGATGGGAGCCAAGCCAGAACTTCGCAAAGAATGCGAGGCATACCGCTTTGCTTTGGTACTGGGAAGATTTACTACTCTTCGTTCTTTGTGGGCTTGGCCTTTGAACTTGGAAACAAGATAGTGCATGTCAGGACTTCCATCATCAACGGCGACGTGCCTTTGCTCCTCTCCAAGACCGTCCTCGGGAAGCTCGGCATGGTTTTCGACATAGAACGGGGGCAAGCGGACTTCAACAAGGTCGGGCTGAGAGGGTTCGATTTGCTTGTCACCGCCTCGGGTCACCCTGCAATCCCCATCGTCCCGACCAGAATGGACGGCGACTCTAGTGCCTTTCATGCAGAGGATTTGAAGTTGGTGCCCAAGGGAGAATACATGGCGTTTGCAGTTGCTCATGGTGCTGGTCCCTCAAAGAACCCCGAACGGTATAACTTCTTCTATGACAAGAAGCTAGATCCTGGAGTCAAAGACATGCTCACTCGTGAAAGGCTTCCCCAAGACGAATTCTTAGCATGGTGGAGAACAAGTTCAGTCATGTCCGATTTCTGGTTAGAGTCCGAGCATGCATGGGTAAGGATACACGTTACTCCCCGGAAAGCTCTCTTCAACCCATCGGCTTGGAAAACTCGAGCAACCGTCCAGAAGGAGATGCTTGTGCAGACAGCTGTTGAGGTGAGGGTCACAGACGGTGTGTGCTGTACTTCCAGTAGGTGGCTTGAGACCGTTGTTGATAGATAGCAGCATGGTCAGATCAATGAGCCTGTGTTCGATTTTCTTTGGGTCGGAAGAACTTGGATAGGAAAGCGTCAAGCCCCTAGCCTTTCCCCTTGCGCTCCTCGCGGACATGGAACAGGCGCCATGCAAGCCGCGGCCGATCAGCCACATGTCCAAGACCCAGCTTCTGGAGGAAGCCAACCGCCTGGGCGTCGTCGTTCATCACACTTGGGGGGTGACGGAGATCAAGGCCTGCGTTATGGAGGCCCGAGAAGCAGCGAAGGAGCAAGACCCCTCCGAGCAGATGAAGCGCATCTCGCACATGACCTTGGCCGAGCTCCGTGCGAAGGCCAGCGAATTGAAGGTGGATTATGGCAGCTCGACCACCAAGGGCAACCTCCTTCGCCTGATACGCGACTCGCTCAATACTCCAGATCAAGAGCTCATGAAGATAGGGAAATTCAAAGGGCTGCAGTTCTGCGAAATCCCGAGGAGCTATGGCGAGTGGACGATCAGAGAGCTGGAGATGGCGGACAGCCCCGACCCGGAGCTCGTGAGGTTCGGGCGCTGGTACAAGCAGAAGTACGCGAAGGAGGAGACCAAGGGCTACTCGAGCCAGGATGTGCCAGATCGACAAGGGCGCTTGCCGGCAATTCGACATCGAAGACGACACCGACGCCTACCACGACGCCATGGAAGACAACGAGGAGATAGAGGCGTACGAGTGCAAGGAGTTCACGCTTGATGACCGCGATTGTTTTCGCCTACGACTCCGGCGATTTCTCCTTTGCTACCTGCCAAGAGATCCTCGATGAGGCCTCCGGAGACATCCTCAAGGGTCAGGGTACCAGAAAGCGTGTCCTCCACGGAGCCAAGTGCCAGATGGCGTTCGGCTTCTATGTGCACGGGGGGATGACTGGCGTCACCAAAGCGGTGGTCAATCATAGTACCCTGGCACGATATCTCAATGCCTTCACCAGAGCCCACGTTGGGAAAGATGCAACGTGGGGAGCAATCAGTATCTTCAAGGGTGGATCCGTGAAGGTCCACCACGACTACAACAACGCGGCCGGGACCAAGAACTACTTCGCTTCCTTCGGACAAGAAAGCGGCGGGCAGCTCTGGACACATGACCACGAGATCAAAGAGCGCGGCCTCGAGAACGACGACAAAGGCAAGATCGTCTGGAAGAGGACCGGATCCGGAGAATGGCTGCCCGGTACGCTGAAGGACACCAAGGAGGAGTTCGTCGAGTTCGACCCGCGTGTCAAGCACCACGTGGCCGAGACGGTCGGGGAGGCTTGGCAGATTGTGGCCTACACCCCGCGTGGACTGGACAATGTGCAGAGCGACACGGCAAAGTTCCTCAGGAATTGTGGGTTCCCTCTGCCATCGAGGCGGAGGAGGACCGAGGACTTGGGCGGCAAAAGGCCCAACAAGAAGCAGCGCAACCTGATTGCGAATACCGTTGGCAAGCTGAGCGTTTTGTTCGCCACTTTACTTGCCGCAGCCACCTCCTTTCTTTGCGAGACTGCCTGTGCCGAAGTTGTCAACGACCCCATCGTGCTCCTGGAAACGAGATCGCGCGCTCCACCTCGTGAAGGCCACGCACGACCCCACGACATCTCCATCTACACCTCGAGACGGCCCTGGACGACGTCTACGACAACGTCAAGGAGCTCATCAGAGAGCAGTTGGGGGGAGGAGGTGCCGTGGTGCTGCAAGGAGGTCAGCCCAGCGCAGTGGTCGACGACCTCGACTTCTACCAGAGGTACAGCGGCAACCGCGAAGGAGAGGTGTGGACAGTTTTGGCCAGACCTAGCGTCAAGAAGCTGGAGTTGCCCAAGAGCCTCAGCCCACACAGCGTCCTTGTTGTCAGTGGGGGCGACAAAGAAAAGGGAGAGAAGCCGCTTAGGATAGATGGATCGGGCATAACCTTCGAGAAGGGGGTACCTGGACATGTCCAATCTGCCATCTTCGATTGGCTGGATGCGAAGCTTCGGTGGTCAAGGCGGCAAAAGGGATGCGATGTCAAGTGTGCGAAGCTTCCAAAGATCCGCAGATAGCACGACCGGCCACCTTGCCGAGGATGCTGAGCTTTGGCGAAATGTGTGTGCGGACATTTTGTACGCGCGCGACTGCGATGACAGGAGGCACACTTTCCTTTCCTTGGTCGACGTCGGCACCACCTACCAGGTCGTTGTCAAGCTGGCCAACACGGGCGGGAAAGAGATTGAGAAGGCCTTCAATACCTATTGGCTGACGCCTTTCGGTGCCCCCAATGTCTGCAAGACGGCTTTTCGAGGTTATGCAGTTGGCATAACGTGAAGATCCGCAACTCAGCGACACTAGCTCACTTCCAGGCGGGGGTGGGCGAACGACAAGGCAAGTGGTTCAAGAACATATGGGGCCGTGTGTGCAAGGAGCTCTCCGTGACAGCCGAAGAAGCACAGCTGGCAGCGACAGCGGTGTGTAGCGCGAAGAACTGCCTGAGAAGGCGGTGTGGCCACTCCCCATATGCATGGATTTTCGGACGTGAAGGCCGCGCCATTGAGGATGTCCTCGATCCGGACAGTGTGGGCCGCGTCAGCTTTGACGTTTCGGATGATGCTCGCTTCCAGCGCTTGACAGCGATTCGAGCGAGCGCTCGAATCGCCTTTCATAAATCAGAAAATGATTCGAAATTGTTGAGATCGAGATGGGCATACAAAGACAAAAACTGGTCAAAGCGGAGGCAGCAGGGGCAAGCTGAGTGGCGGTGCAAGTCCAGGCTAGTTATAGCCGGACACACAGATCCGGACTTGGCTACGGGGAGGTTAGCAACGGACGCACCGACTTTGTCGAGACCTGGGCTGCTGTGCTTGCTGCAGTTGCTCGCGAATGGACTTCATCAACCAGACCCCTGGCGAGTCTCGGCCGGTGATATACAATGTGCCTTCCTTACGGGCAGCTACCTCAGCCGGGGCGAAGAGCTCTTCATCCATCAGCCGGCAACCGGCTTTCCTGGGATGAAACCAGGACAGCTAGTCCGGGTCAAGAAGAACATCTTCGGGTTAGCAACGAGTCCCCGAGAGTGGTGGTTGGACCTCCAGGACGGGATCGGGAAGATTGACATCAGTATCGAGGGGGTGAACCGCCGCTTCGATCAATGCCCCTTGGACCCGTGCATCTTCGTCTTGAGACAGTACTCAGGACATCGGCCAGCCCAAGGGGTACATTGGGACCCACGTCGACGACCTGCTAGTGATTGCGCCGACTTCCACCTCGAGATTGATCGAGCAAGCCCTTGGCCAAGCTTTTCCGATCGACGAGTGGGAGAGCGAGTTGTTCAACTACCTCGGCTCCGAGATCTACTACGGAGATGGAGAAGTGGTGCTGTGCCAGCAGGCATATGCTGAGAGCAGGCTCTTCACCTTGGACTTGCCTAGAGGAGCCAGCGACGAAGACCTCGCCGGGCCCGACCTCATTGCCGACAACCGCAGCCTGGTAGGGGCGCTCAGCTGGCTATCAGCGCAGAGCAGGCCAGACTTGACCTGCTCCGTGAGCATGGCGCAGCAAGTGCAGAAGCAGCCGACCATTGCCGACTTGAAGTTCACCAACGTCATCTCCAAGAAGGCATTTGAGCACCGCGAAGAAGGACTGAGGTTTCGACCCATCGACAAGACCGAGCTCCTCGTCATCGTGTGCCACGACGCCGGGTGGGCGAATGCGAAGGACACGGACCACGACGAAGAGGGCTTCGAGTTGACCGCCGAGGACAAGGTCGCTGGACTGCAGTGCGAGGGGCCTTTCGTCGCGAGAGGCGGCAGGAAGGCGAAGAGGAACAACTCCAAGGTCGCATCCCAACTTGCGGAGCTCGTGGTGTTCGCAGAGAAGAAGAGCGTCCTGGAGAGTTCAGGGAACTTCAGCGCCCTTGATTGGAAATCAAGGGCAGGGCAGAGAGTCTGCCGGAGTACCTTCTCGGCCGAGACGCAAGCTTCAGTTGAAGGCGTGGAGGCCGGACAACATGTGAGGGCGCTGTTCGAGACGCTCCTGTCGGGCGAGCTCGTGAAGGTCGAGGACTGCGTGACACCGCTTCTCTGCCTGAGTGATTGCAGGTCACTGTACGACCATGTGCATAAGCAGGGAGTTCCAAAGATACCGACCGATAGGCGGTTGGCAGTAGATTTGGCTGCGCTGCGACAGGCACTTAAGGCCGAGCAGTGGGCAAGTAAGCTGCCCTTGTCCTGGGTCGCGAGCCCCTTTCAGTTAGCAGACGTGCTGACAAAGCCCCAAGATGCCACTAAGTGGTGGGAGTTCTTTCGGAGCAAACTGCTCGTCCCGATCAATTTGAAGGAGGAGGCTCGGGTCAGCACAGAGCTGATTAGAGACAGGAAGACCAGTGTGAAGCCCAAAGATTCTATTGGTGTTATTCCTGCTGTATCAGAGTTTTGTATCATCGAAGAGGGTCTTCCTGTCCCCGAGTAAGCCCCCTCTGACTTGTCAGGCCAACTTCGAAGGCATTTGGCACGAGAAAAGATGCCTCAGCGCTGCCGTTGCGCAGGCCAGGCCAGGGTGTATTAGCTTAGGGTGTCACACGAAACCCTAAACCCTAAACCCTAATGCCTAAACTCGAAACCCTAAACCCTAATCGCTAAACCCTAAACCCTAACCAAGGCTCCCAGCTCCTGAAGCCTCCAATTTTTCAGTGGCATAGTTTTCCGTGTTTTGGGTTTCCAGGCTCCTAGTATATTACCATGAACCCCCAAACGTAGATATTTCCTCCAGGGGCTACTGAACAACCTGGACAAGGATTATGAAGGGTCTTGTGAGGCTTTGCATGTGCAAATGTCGTTGGAGTTGTAAAGGCCTCCAGTCCACTTTTTGGTTTAGGGTTTACTTTGCTTTTCGGTTTGACTCTAAGGTTGTGGTGGCAAGTGGCATCTTCGAAAGGCTCGTGCTTTTGGATTGAGAGCTGGATCGGGGGTCCTGTTTGTGCAACCCCTTGCGCAATCTTAGGGGGTCAGGGGATGACACTTTGGTTGGATAGCAAACCTGGACGAGTCTCCCAGACCGGAGTGTTCCCGGCTTGGAATTTCAGCTCCCAGGATCCAGGATTCAGGGTTTATAGCCTAGGCTTTCGAGTACAAAGCTCTGGTATGGGTCGAACATGGGGGACTCCTATCCCCGGCACTGTAAGCACGAACTTCCACAACTAAACCCTAGCACTCCTAGCCCCCCAACTTTCAATCTTAAACCCTAGCCGAGCCTAGGGCCAAATCCTTGGGGTCTTCTTAACTGTGGGGCTTGGATTGGGCTTATGGGCTTTTAGAAAGGATACAACGACTGCAGGATTACGGGCCATCTTAAATCAAGGGCGTAGGTTGGGTGGAGGCCCCCACAGGGGCTTCGACATAATCACCGTTACCCCTTGTAATGTTACTGGGTGGGATCCTAAACCCTAAGCCCCCGACCCTAAACCCTAGACCCCCAACCCTAAACCTTATACCCCAACCCTAAACCCTAAACCTCAAACCCTAAACCCTCAACCCTAAACCCTGAACCTACGGCTTACAGATGACAAAGGCCGCACATTGGCCTGCCGGGGCTCAGCACGTTTCCGGGGCTTGTGCGCCACGCCGCCGAGTATCGCAAACCCGAGGAGTTCGCTGGGAGGAGCCGCGGGAAAGCCGGGCTTAAGGGGTTTTATGGGTTTAGGGTTTA